AATAAAAAATCTAAATATCAGGTCGGGTTGGGAAATGTTGAGACTGTCGAGTTCTGATGCCTTTCTCCCTCCTCGTCTCCGCGCAGCACAGCAGTGTAGCACACATTGATTGGCACATCACAGTCACAGACAGGCAGAGAGCCGCAGAAGTGAAGCCCTCCCTCTCTTTTCAGTTGTGTTTGTCTTGGTGTGGAGGTGAGTGGTGATGAACAAAAGACTAAGCTACCTGTGCCTCGAATTTACAGCTAATTATCCAAAAGACAACAGTTAATTTGTCTTGCTAACATCCATGACTCAGCTACCATGTAAGTTAGCTAAAGTTTAGCTAAGGCAATAGGAAGTCTAGTAGGTTAGGCCAGTACGCATTCTTTCACTGCATGATTCAGTTTATTAAAATGCATTTAGAATGATCACAAAATTCAAGATATGGGGGCACAAATGTATATATTTATATATAGTTAATCAGCATCACGTGAAGACTTTATACAGCAGTTCAATAAACATGAATTTAATACACTTACGTTAGACACAATTGACTGTTTTTGGTATATTTCGCCAACAAATATAATTCCAATTTGCATCTCTGAGCAACATGACGGTGTTTCGTTCCTGAATGAATCAACCGTTTAAATTATTCGGTTCAATTGCAATGACTCACTTATTAACAGTGACTTGCTGCCACCTACTGGCGGTTTTAATTTCACATTTAAAATATCTTTTCCTTTTAAAAAAAATCAAATATCAGTATTCAACATTTTGTTTAAATGATCAAAACAGTATTAATGTATTTGTAACTGCAGGTTAAAACATTCATGTCCTGCATTAAACAGTGTGTAAATGCATTTAAATGCCACTTCTAACGCAGCTTCTGTGTTTCCTCTGCATTGCAAAGATGAATTTTGTCAATACTGATTTAATTTGCTTGGTAACAGCCCAAATGACTTATAATATTAATTGACTGATTCAATTTAAGAATTTGACTGAAAAGATGATGCACACTTTTAGAAAAAAATGGCTTTACAAAGGTAAAACTGCCCATAAAAAGTAAAAATCAATTTAAACTTATTGGAAAAGATGATTTTCTATCACTGCTGTGAACTGATCACCACAGAATATGCGGAATATCAAAAACTTTAGGAGTCAGCTGTCCACTACAGTCCTTACCAGATATCAGCACAATAACACACTCAGCAAAATGTTGTCTAATTATCGTTATCGATAAAATCCCAGAAAATAGCGAGATATATTTTTTGTCAATATCACACATCTAATATATTTAACGTTTTGTTTAGGAAAAAATGTAAATAAATGTGAGACATGCCCTTTTTTCCACTCGTGATGCACACTTTTAGAAAAAATGGCTTTATAAAGGTAAAAATACCCATAAAAGGTAAAAATCTATTTAAACTTATTGGAAAAGATTAATTTCTATCACTGCTGTGAACTGATCACCACAGAATATGCGGAATATCAAAAACTTTAGGAGTCAGCTGTCCACTACAGTCCTTACCAGATATCAGCACAATAACACACTCAGCAAAATGTTGTCTAATTATCGTTATCGATAAAATCCCAGAAAATAGCGAGATATATTTTTGGTCAATATCGCACACCCCTAACATATTTAATGTTTTGTTTAGGAAAAAATGTAAATAAATATGAGAGATGCCCTTTTTTCCACTTCAGCCCCAGCCCCTCAAAATGTCTGTGCACGTCCCTGCATATGGGCAACCATTTATCATGAAATATGTTTCCTGTTTCCTTAGACCAAACCCTATTTTAGTAAGTGTAGCTGACTTGACCAATGAATATCCATTTTTTTTTTATTCTTCTTCCTCTGAGTACGTAAACAATATTTATGACTGTTTCTGTTTGTCCTGAGGAACACAAGTGTTATTGAAAGTGCATCATAATTGCGTTTCTGGAATTATTTGAGTTCAAATAAATAAGGAAAGAAATTATATTTCAATATTCCTATGAAATATTAGATATTATTATGAAAATCTTGCATGTTGCCCCAAGAACACATTAATATTCAAATTAGTGTATAGATACATTGTATGCAGTGGGAAAACCCATTTATGGCCATTTTACACACATAACGCATAAAGCTAAATGGTAAGCTATATCAAATCATTCTGTTATATCTTTCATACATAGTTGAGAATCATCGTTATACAAAGTTCTGAAACCTAAAAATGTATTGGTGATTTTAAAAAATCTATTGTTTTGCCTATTCATATTCGTTGATGTCTTTTTTATTAAAAAAAAGAAATTTAAAAAATTATTAAAAAGTCAGTGTCCTCTACAGGGTACATAACATATGAATAAAATATATTTTTTTCAGAATTATTAAAAAAAAAAAATTCTTATGCCCTCAAAAAAAAAAAAACTAAATTCACAAAACTTTTTTCTGGGTCTCAAGAGGTTAAAAACCGCGCGGCGCTCTACCTGTGACTGATTGTAAATAATGAGCAACACCGGTGCAAATTCCCGGTAAACTATCCAGTTTATAAAGCTTCATACTTGCGAAGAGCGATATGTATTTTTTTTTAACCGCAATAGTTTGATTTAGTATTCGAACACGAGATATTGAAGCTTGGGAATACTTTTCCCGCGCTTTGCTAGCTTACACGTAAAGCGCCAACATATCCTTTTATCGTTTTTCGTTAGCTTAACCCTGGACTTAACCAGTAAAATAACATGCATATACTAAGAAATATAATAATTTACATTTGTTTCCTTCCATAAGAACCGCCATGTCTGCATCTAAATTCACCTTGCTGTGTAATTCGCATAACTGCCGGACAAAGCTGAGTGGGTTCGCGTGGGTCACGGCCTGCTCTCACGTATTCTGTGATCAACACGGTACGGAAGAATTCAGCCGCACTCCTGCCATCTGCCCCGCGTGCTCCTCCATGCTGTCGGGCAAACTGGACGTACTTAGAACCGAGCTGGCACCATCAGAGCAATACAAGGCTATGGTTTTGGTCGGATTACAGCCTGAAACTGTTTTGGAAATCAGTCATAAAGCGCTAGACTTTTGGACCTACCAGGTTTGATGTCTGCAGGGATGCAGTTCCATAAACAGAAAAGGTTGGGATTGATGCACCTTCCTTTTTTCACTTTTGTTTGTGGTTATTTTTAGGTAAACCAGGAGAGGTTGCTGATGGAGTACAGTTTGTCCAGGGCTGGAGGACAAGTGCTTCAGATGGAGAAGTTTATGATCCAGCAGAACCAGAGCAAAGAGCTTGAGTTAAATGCATTAAGAGGGGAGATGGCATCCCTGAAAAAGGTCTCAAACATGATCAAAGCATCAAACTAATGCCCACACTTGCAGTTTATACACAGTAACTGTCAAAATAACTTCTTTCCAAAATTTCGAATAATAGAAATAAATCAAAAACCATGAAATGACATGGAAGACAAAACATATTGTTGGTTCTTCAACATTTTCATTCTTTTCATCAAAAAAAGAAAAGAAAAAAAAAAGTAGCACGCTTTCCACAAAAATATTAAGCAGCCCAACTTTTTTCAACACTGATAATAAGGAATGTTACTTGAGCATTTGTCATGATGAAAATTCAGCTTTGCATCACATTTAAAATAAATAAAATTAATTTTAAGTTGTAGTTTCATAATATCACAACTCATCCATTTCCCCTATCCAAAAAATAATATTTGTGATTTCAAGCATCGAAGCAAGTGACTTTAGCTCAAAAGTTTAAGATCACAAGAAACATGCAATCAAGTTAACAAATCATTGGTTATAATTGGTACTGTGTATATATAGAAGCATGAGAGGGATGCTTTTTTGTATTTCTTTTAACGGCTATCAGTGTCCTCATTTTCAACTTTTACATTCTCCAGGTGCTGGAGGAATATAAGCGGAAGTACAGTGAGGTTTTGGAGGTTGGTTCTTCAACATTTTCATTCTTTTCATCAAAAAAGAAAAAAAAAAAGTAGCACGCTTTCCACAAAAATATTAAGCAGCCCAACTTTTTTCAACGCTGATAATAAGGAATGTTACTTGAGCATTTGTCATGATGAAAATTCAGCTTTGCATCACATTTAAAATAAATAAAATTAATTTTAAGTTGTAGTTTCATAATATCACAACTCATCCATTTCCCCTATCCAAAAAATAATATTTGTGATTTCAAGCATCGAAGCAAGTGACTTCAGCTCAAAAGTTTAAGATCACAAGAAACATGCAATCAAGTTAACAAATCATTGGTTATAATTGGTACTGTGTATATATAGAAGCATGAGAGGGATGCTTTTTTGTATTTCTTTTAACGGCTATCAGTGTCCTCATTTTCAACTTTTACATTCTCCAGGTGCTGGAGGAATATAAGCGGAAGTACAGTGAGGTTTTGGAGCGACTGAATGAACGAAATGGGCAATATCAGAAGCTGCAGGGACTTCTCGACTCACTACGGATGCACACGCTGGGAACGGGAGAGAAAGATCCCATTTCCCACCCTTTCACTACAGGTCAGGTGGAAAACAAGCAATGGGTAGAAACAAAAATAATGGTTCCTTATTTAAACAAATTATTGTAGTGATCTACTTTTACCCTGCATAAATAAAATCAGGTCGAGAGTTCTTTATCTTACGGAGACTAAAATTGTTCAGATGTGATTGACTGTTGTAAAGCATAGTAGTGTATGAAAAATCTTTGCAATTATTGTCATCAGGTTTGGTCAAACCACGCTCTTCCCATAACAGTCCTTCATTCCTGGGACCAGAAGGCGACAGGTTCTTCTCACTTGGGTCAGAAAACGCTAAAACTTTCTTCCAGTTCAGCACACCCACCCGAGACAGAACCCAGACTTTTATCAAGAAAAACTAAGTACGATTTAAGTTTCACTAGGATGCTTTTTTCTTTCATTTATGAATTCTGATTTCAGTTCTGACTGCCAAATATGGTCGTTTCTGTTCAATTCTTTGTTTTGTTTTTTTTTTTCAAATTGGTTATTTACTGATAAAGCTGTTACACAGTTTAAAGAAGGTGTTATGCTATAAATACTGTTTCCACTGATGTAAATGACCTTATTGTGGAAAATAACTCATGATTAAAATGTGGAAAAACCCTACATTAAGTAGGAACTGCCAAACTGATCAGAGTAAGACTGGGATTTATTTTATTTTATTTTTAATTTTCACAACCCAAATATGAAACAGACCGCAGCACAATCTTAACAATGATGCCCATCAACAAGAGGAAATTTAAAAAATGGAAATGATTTGAAAAAATATGTACAGTTTTCCTGTCCTCACAAATAGGAACAGAACTAAATATATACAAAATGGAAAAACACTACCCTCATTGCTCTCAATGTTCTCACCATATGTCCTCTCTCTAAGTTTTCATTCACTTTGAGGTTTGTAAGTAACAAAGGCTGCACTTTGGCTTTTCATCACCTGTCTTTTTCCATTGACTATAAGGAGCAAGGGAGAGTCCACACGTATACTTCGGAAGTCATATGACTATAGGGAGTAGCAAAGAAGAAACAAAGACATCAGTATTTGTTACAGCTATTGTAATGCAAAAAATAAGAACATTACATTTATAATTGGGTTATTACACCTGTGGCCACAGATAATGGCAGCAAACTAGTTTAAATTTTGCTTGATTGTAAATATGTACACTACTGTTCAAAAGTTTGAGGTCAGTAAGTATATATATTTTTAAAGAACTGAATACTTTTATTCAGCAAGGATGCATTCAATCGATCAAAATTCTGTTCTCTTTCACTTTCTATTCACCAAATAATCCTGAAAAAAAAGTATCATATTACCACAAAATATTAAGCGGCACAATGGTTTTCAACATTGACAAAAATAAAAAAATTCTTCAGCACCAAATCAGTATATTAGAATGATTTCTGAAGGATCATGTGACACTGAAGACTGAAATAATGAGGCTGAAAACATTTTTTGGGAAACATTTTTTAAAATCTTAACGACCTCAAAATTTGGAATGGTAGTGTATAAGTGGAGATATAAAACTTTAAAATAGAATGAAAAGTTTTGTACACATACCTTATCTTTATGTGTTACGCTGTGCCGTTTAACCTGTGGTTCAGGAATGACTACAGTATCCCCTATTAAAACACCCCAGCTGTCTGCTGTATTATACACCATTACTACGCAACAGGTCTCTTCACTGTCCACCATGCCAAATGTGCTGCAAGACAAAAACAAGAAAACCATTTTAAAAATCAAACACAACACCATCAGCAGACATTTAGCTATATCCAGTAACCTTCTAGTTTTGTTAGGAAATGTTTAGTAAATATTTGTAGAGGTTGTTAATGCGGCAGAGGCATTTAAACCCACAAGGCCATACGGCCCTCTGAGGCCAGACTGAAGACCACTTTTCCTAGTGCTGCCACCCCGCCGTTGTGGCCTTGAGTGAGAGCGGATAAGCTGCGGGGCTCAAGGCTCCCTATGCAGCCTGAGGGAGACCGGAACTGAGGGGAGGAACACGGGCCCAAAGTGGAGGAACTGAGTGAGGAGAGCATGGTACGAAGACGCCGAGCTTTTACTTTCCCCTGAAACACAGAGAGAGTGAGGTTAATGTGGTTCCTTACGGACCTCCAGAATATTTTTACTGTACTCTACTGCCATCTCCTGGAAACAACCTACAACTACATGTTTAATCAATGTGATCATCATATATGCACACTATTACTGTTGGACAGGTGCTTTTTTTCCAAATGCCCAAAAAGCAAGATGTGTCATTTTAATACACTTTTGTAAAACCAGAAATGAAAGAGTCTAAACGTGTAAATAATATGACAATAAAATAGACCAAACATTTAAATATATGATTTACATACTAAATTCAAACTCCAGTACAATGCAGATTTTGAAATGCTCATGACAGACATCATCATATGCACCTGCCACCGTCCATTTTTCACTTGACGTTAGGCCTGTCGCAATAATCAATATATCGACTTATCACACAATATATGTACATGACCTCAATCATTTTTAGTTACGCAATATTTCGCCCATTATATTTACTTAAAGATTTATGTCACCATGTTTTTTACATTCCACTTGCGCCTGTGTCTTTTGCAGCTTCTTGTACATAACGTGGTGTAGTCATGAGGTGCTAGTTAAAATGTTAAAAATGCTTCTACAAAGATATGCATCTGTGCCTTTGTACATACAGACATCTGACTGCTAAGTAGTGATTGTTTCTTTCTTTTTTTTGTACTTGTTACTTTGCACTTTTTGTTAGAAAATGATTATTTACTATTTATAAGTTTTTAAGGTATCAAATATTTTGATACTTAATTTCCATGATCTAAATATTCTTCAAAATTTAAAATTTGTTGTCATTTGGAAGTTTGTAGGCCTTCTTGCATTATTATGCTGTTACATTATGATTATATATTCAGTGGTATAAAATGGTCTTTAAAATGACAATAATATCACTTATTGCAATTATTTCTGGGGCAATATATCGCACAACAAAAAGTTGTTATCGTGACAAACCTACTTGACGTTTGAATAAAGTTGAGCATTTCAACGTTCACAAGATTCTCTCAACGATATTTCTCTGTTCTGCTGTCAATAGTTTAGCTCCCACAGAAATAAAATTAAAATGCCTGTTCTGTGCCAGTGTAAACCGTAAAAGTTACAATGTCACTGTTCATTTATCTCACCTTATTCTCTATTAACACTGTAACCTGGTCTAGGTAATTCAGCAGCTGTTTTTCTCTCTCCTGAGCATCTTCCCAGCCAGGATCCAGAGCTGCAGCACGGCTGTATCCATCCAGAGCTGAACTGTACATCTCTTCATACTGGAACAACTGGTGACAGAAAGGAGTTTCTTAGGCCTGCTATACACAGTGGAAGAGCAACAGCAGGCTGTTTTCCAGTTTAGATAAGTAACAAGGTGGATAAGATGCCGGTTTTACAGTGACATATTTGCTGGTGAACACCTGAGTCTGAGAAAGTGTGTGAGAAAGCAACTGAAAGAATTGTTACCGTAGCTCTGTTGAAGTGGAGGTCAGGATTCATTGAGGATGCTTTGTCGATTTTCTCCTGTACATATGCACAGATAAAATTATAAGGTAAGATGATGACAACCAGCTTTGGCTCAATAATATTACAATATTATGAATATTAACAAATGAATGTTAGGATGATACATGAGGGAGAGGAAGAGGAAATACTCACAGCCTGTGCATAGGCACTGAGGGCCTGTTGAGAGAGCTGTGGGTTTTGTCCACTGGTGAAAAACATGGAGATATATGCGTTCCCTAAAATATCTGTTGGGTCAAACCAAAACAGTATAAAATAATGTATTCCAATTTTTTTCTAATTATATTCTGTCTCTATTCAGAAATGCTGATAGGAAACAATAGCTGCGTTCCGATCGACAGCCTGGATATCTGTTGGCGTTCACTTCACTTGACAAAAACATTTCATTTTCATTTAAAAGGATAGTTCACCTGAAAAGGACAATTCTGTTATCATTTACATACCCGGTCGTTTCAAACCTGTATGACTTTCTTAAATAAGATATTTTGAAGAATGTTAGTAAACAGTTTAAATGTTCCCATTGGCTTCTGTTGTATGGACAAAAAATACAACGGAAGTCAATGGGAACCTAAACTATTTGGTTACCAACATTCTTCAAAATATCTTTTTTTTTTATGTTCCACAGAACAAAGAAAGCCATATAGGTTTGGAAAGACATAATTATCATTTTTGGGTGAACTATCCCTTTAAAGGGGTCATATGATGCGATTTAAATTTTTCCTTTCTCTTTGGAGTGTTACAAGCTCTTGGTGCATAAAGAAGATCTGTAAAGTTGCAAAGACTAAAGTCTCAAATCCAAAGAGATATTCTTTATAAAAGTTAAGAGTCAACCACGCCTACCTAAAACGGCTCGTTCTAACACACCCCCACATGTCTACGTCACGATGTGGGAAGATTTGCATAACGCCACCAAATGTTCACGCAAAGAAAGAAGGCGTAACTTTTATTCTCGCTGTCGTATTGTTGCTGCCGCCATGTTGTGAAGACGCTGTGTTTCTACTTTGTTTGGCCTTCCAAAAAGAGGACGATATCCGCTTCGTCATGCCTGGAGCTGATCCGTGCTGGTCGCTGAGGAAATACATCAACATCAACGCGTTTCAGAAAGGCGGGGAATAGAGGAGAAACAATAATGTATAGTATGTGGAAAATGTGTTTTTTTTACTTTAAACCGCATAAACATATTTCATTACACCAAATACACAAAATAATGTTCTTTTTAGCAACATCATATGACCCCTTTAAGATGGCAAAATACCCTGTGAAGTCCAATTTCTTATTTCAGATTATTTCACAGGTTATTCCACTTACGGTTGAAAGGAATGCACCTAATATGTCTTTTTTCACAATAGCAGTGTAATACACTCACACCACGAAGTCCCATCAGTGACGTCAAGTTGCACAGCCTGCCTGGCCAGCTCCACACTCTCCACAATGTGTTTGCCCTGCCCCTGAGTGTCTACTTCCGGTGGCATCTGTCGCAGCACCATAGACAGGCTTCTCAGAGACACTTTATTCTTACTCTGGATGAAGATAATACAAAAAAAGGTTAATCTGTGAGCTTCATGAGAAGTCCAGTATCAAAAGAGCCAGATATCATAAAAGATATTGGGTATCATTCACTAATAATTGCATTGATTGTTGCTTATATGTTATGCTCATTATTTGTATGCATAACTTCTGACAAAAAATTCAGGCTAATTCCTCAAAACCACAATAAACACCTTTTGTACAGACCTCTTGTCTTATTACAGCTGTACACAGCGTCGGTGCCAGCGTTGACCTGGCCAACTAGGTCACTGTGCCCCCTCACCTCCCTTGGCCCCGGATTTCTATCGAGGCCCCCTCAAGAAATGCAAAAAATGCCCTCCCAGTTTGTATGGGCTGGCGCCGACTCTGGCTGTACATGTTCCCTGTTATACTGAGAAGCCTCGCATCTCAAGCTATAACGCAGCTCTCTTTACACTTTCACTGTATATGATAAAATATATTTAAGATGAAATAAAATGTAATGATTATAATTTAATGATTTATTCATTTAATGATTATAAGTGATTATAACATTGAGTAATAGTGTGTACTTAATGAACGAGACCAATTGTTCTTGGCTATAATAAGACTCACCTGCTGTAGTGCACCTGTGAAGCAGGTCTTGGCTGCTGTCAGGTCTCTTTTTTTCCAGTACTGCTCTCCCAGAGTGTTCCAGCCCTCAACCAAACCCGGTTCCAGTTTAACAGCCCGGGACAGACGCTCCTCTGCAGTCTGACTAAACCCTGAAGCAACATTCAGACACCGACCCCATAGCAGCAGGAACTGGGCACTGTGTTTGTACACGTCTGTTGAAAGACAGAGCAGAATATAATAATAGTAAATACATAATAAGAAAATAACTTTTTTTTTTCTAACCCTTGTTGTGACATTTTTAATGGTGCTGAGACAGTAATAAAGGATCCTGCTGTGTTTTTTAGCAACATATTTTCCTAATTATTTGTCAGAGTATATTTCATTAAACATTCAAAATTATTTGCCCTAAAAATTTGTAGAAAACGAAGAAGTAATGCACACCTTCTTTTCCCTCCAGCCTCTTAAGTGTCTTTGCCATCTCTTGAGCAACATCATTCTGTTTCCTACCAGCGTCTTCAACACTGTGCGTCTCAAAGTAACGGTCCCTAAAGGAGTAAAGATCATCTACCAGCTCCTGTGAGAAAAACATGCTATTATTAAACAACTGCACATTTGAAGTTCCTCAAAAACTCAAAAGAGATTTCATGCATCAAAGAAATAGTTCAGCCAAAAATCAATTGTGTCACCCTGTGAATCACAAAAAGAGATCTTAGAATGAAGGCCCCAGTCAGCATGCACTTGCATTGCATCCTTTTTAATAAAACGAAAGCAAATGGTGACTGAGGTCTAAAGAGAGTATTGAGCTAAAGAGATTATACTGTACTGTGGCTTTCGCTTACAAAAAGTTACTACTATACCGAAATCTTCTATCAAAATGTTAAGAAACCATAACTGCAGTTATGGAAGTAAAGCTGTGGCATAACAGCATTTGTCATCAAAAACGAGATTAAAAACTATGACAAAGTTTCTTACACTGTTTAAAGAAGAACTCAAATCAATGTATTATGGTTTTACAGTACTACAGTAAGTAGCTCTTCCAGAGGGAGGTGAATGATGGGTAAAACAAACAAGAATGATGAAAAGCACGTTAGGTTAACACGATCAGGCTACACTGCACTGCACAGAGTTTAATAAAAGAGATTCAGATGCTGCTCGTCTTAGAAACCTGTTCGTTTTAATCAGTTGTTATAGTGACAAGCGGCGCAGCAACCATGTGTACATTATCCGTCATCGACATCCTCATCTGAATGCGGTGATGCCTATTTATTTTTACCTCACTAAAAGACAAAGGGAAATTAAAGAGTCAGTACAAACCTTTAACACTTGCAAGTCATCTTTGTCTGTTGTTTTCCGCTCCCCATCATTGTCAACCTCGGCCATCTTTAACATGTAAACAGGACCCGAGCAAGCGTGATAAACACAGACGAGTGTGTTTGGGCGCCTCCTACCGGTCAGGAGACGAACAGTTTATTTTTACTTTGAGCATCCCTGGCTGGAACTACAGTCCTGATCACAGCCAGCACCTCCACAGTCTCAACTCATGTAGGCCAAAATACAATGTACACAATACAACTGACAAAACGATAATGTATCATAACAGTTATGTGAATCAGGATTTGATGGTATGATCAGGCTGCAGTATAAATTCTGCTTATGGCCAGAAACTATATTCAAAATGTATATATTATCTTCCAAGGTGGGGATAGAAAATCTGAGATAGACAGGATCACACACCTGTATGAAGAAGGAGAAGACCCAGTTCTATCACAACCCATAACTAGTAACCTGAAGGTACAATAAAACTATTCATTTTTTATCTTTTTATTGTTAGAATATTAATTATTTAAGCATTGCTATTTGACAGTAAATTCATTCATTAATGAATTAACAGGAGGTTATGAGGGGCATAGGGCAAGTAACCAAAGTTCAGGAGCGTTCCTTCACTGGAACGTGAAATATATCAGACCTCCAGATGTGGAGCTGGAAAACCAATGAAAGTGTACGAAAAGAAGGTGAGAGCTCACCCTTGATTAGTAACTACAATGCTTGATCTGACAAGTAATTAAATCAGATTGAATAGCTGTGATGTGAAATGTTTTTCACTCCTTTTACAGAGCAAACAGATTTTTTCCAGCAGCACAACCAATGTGACCATTCATCCGAAGGATATCAGAACCTTTTTCATTCACTTTAAATAGACAGATCTGCAGAATCCGATGGTTATCTTCTGTGAAGATTCTTTAAGATCAATTCTAAATTGTCAGTAATGATTTTAAAGATGTGTATAATTTGAATCATTGAACCTTTTGCTTTATTTTTTCTTATGAAGTTATTAAAGGTAGTGTTAAGCATCACACATTTTGTGAAGTGTTTAGACTCGTTTGTGTTCTTTGATTATTTCGGGAAAAAAAACAAATTCAATCATGACATCAGGTCGGTGGCTGAATGTGAACTTTATTAGTTTAAGTTTAATGCAAAAAATGTTATATCGCCATTGATACATTAATAGCATTGCTGTTGTGTGTATGCCACAAGAATGATGTTTTCACGTTTAGCTTAAAGGAATATTTCACATCAAAAATGAAACTTCTCTCATAATGTACACACCTGTATGCTGTTCAATGTCATACAGTTTTGAGACATGTTTGTTGTTCCAAACTGTTTTCCCCCCCTCTATACAATGGAAGTCAATGGGCTCCAATTTAGTTTGGTTCCCGACATTCTTCAAAATATCTTTTGAGCTCCACACATTTCATTTTTGGGTGGAATATCCTTTTAACTTCATAAAATGAAAATAATGTGGTGAAAACATTTTGTCAACACATAAAACAGTATGAAGACTGTAATTAGATTTTAATAATTGTTTATCACATTTGTTTATTAAATTCTTATAACCTTGAATTTGAGTATTGACAATGTCCATACACCAACTGATTCTTAAAGTATATGTTCTGTAAAAGGCTATTTTTACAAGTTTTATATGTTGCATTAAGATATTAATTAATATTGGAAATGATACACATGTACAGTATGTTAACTCAGAAATAGGTCTGCAGTCTGCACATTATGTTAAAAGTCTATTAAAAAGCTGTTAAAAGACAAGATGTTTTTATGTTCTCAAAATATAGAGATATATTAGTGATATTATGTTTGACTAAGGTATAATGTATTAATGTACAGTGGGTACGGAAAGTATTCAGACCCCCTTAAAATTTTCACTCTTTGTTATATTGCAGCCATTTGCTAAAAATAATGTGTTCTAAGATTGAGATTTATTAGTAATATTAGTCTTTTTAGATGCACACACTCTCACTTTCATTGCGGAGTTGTGGGTGGCGTCATAACGATGACAGGCTGAAAAAGACAGAAGCAGTTTACAGTCGAGAACTGTGCATAATACTGTGCATCATTCATACAGCTTGCCAGCATCGACAGATATGAAATGAGCATTGCTTACCACATGAGATCTGGGAGTGCAGCAAGGAATCACCTTGCAGCAGTATGCAGCTAGTGTGACAGAGAGGACAATCTGAGTCACCTCCGTGAGCTCATCTAATGAATACAGTAGATCAAATCCCTTCTGTAAGCAAAGAGGATGAACAATATATAAATATACACTGATCAGCCACAAAATTAAAACCACCTGCCTAATATCATGTGGTTCTCCCTCGTGCTGCCAAACCAGCTCTGATACATCAAGTCATGGACTCCACAACACCTCTGAATGTGTTCTGTGGTTTCTGGCACTATACGTTAGACAGATCCTTTAAAACCTGCAAGTTTGCAAGGTGGGGCCTCCATGGATTGGATTTGTTGGTCCAGCACATCCCATAGATGCTCAGTTGGATTGAGATCTGGGAATTTGGAAAACAGGGCAACACCTTGAACTCTTTGTGTTCCTCAATCCATTCCTGAACAATTTTGTGTGGCAGGGTGCATTATCCGGCTGAAAGAGGCCGCTGCCTTTAGGGAACACTATTGAAGGGGTGTATGTGGTCTGCAACAAGGCTAGCCTTTGCTCCCCATTTACAATGGGACCTTGGGCGTCCATGAGCCTTGGGTGTCCATGACCCTGACACCGGTCCTTCCTTGCACCACTGACTTGTCCTTCTTTGCACCACTTTTGGTAGGTAACCACTACACACCGGGAGCACCCCATGAGAGTTGCCATTTTGGAGATGCTCTGACCCAGCCGTCTAACCATCTGGGCCCACACACACACACACACACATATATATATAGATAGATAGATAGATAGATCAATATTTAAATGATGCATAATCCACAGCCTAGTGATTTGCAAATGTGAACAGCATACAGTGACATTGATAACTGTTTTGCTTACCTCTAATTGTATACATGTGTCATTTTCATGTGTTATCTCGCTGTCATTATGATGCCAGCAGCCAATAAGGTGTGGATCTAGCTCAACAGATGTTCCCATAAGACAGAAAGTATATGCCACACATGTGACCACCTGCATTCCCAAACAAGCCTTGAGCTGTTGAGAAACAAAACGACAGACACACACTCGAACGCTTATTTCTAAGTGCCTCTTCAGCGATACATTCTGAGTGGGAACTCAGAAATGTAGGGGGTACATTCTGCACATAGAACTAGCATGCACGATAGATATTTTTAATGATATTTCATCGTTTTTGCTGTGTCCAGCATAGACTTACTGTCCGCAGGTGAAGATTCTGCGCTGCTACTGCTACAGCGCCAGAAATTATGCCCTGTTTAAAGAAAACATAGTGGTAGGCTAAATCATATTGAAGGATATTTTTCTAGAGAAATGCTGGAACATTTATACTATCAGAAATTCTACATTTAAATATAAATTTAGTCAATAATTTCAAAAAAAAAAAAAATGTTATTATTAAATATATTTAACAATATATAAAATATTTTTACTGTTTAAAAACATATAAAATGAACACTTACAACACATGAAAATGCCAGCATTAAGCTGTTTAAAATCAATCCGGATATTCCTATATAAAACGGAATTCTGCCAACAACGAAGAAGACAGTCAGCGCGATCTCGGTCACCTGTGGATGAGACATAAAACTCCTCAGTAGATGTGTTTGAGACTACATTGTATTCTACTCCGATATCAACTTCAAGTGTACCCCTAAAATCTTGGGTTCTGCCTCCAGGTATTTGTATTTTTGACGGGGGTTCCTCTGGAAAGTAACTTCCAATAACGTTCCCGCCTCGCCCGTGCTCTGTGCGGCAGCAACCGCTGAAACAACGCCCGAAACCTCTGCCTCCTCAGGTTCGCCTGTTGATTTACACAACACAAGTCTTGGATCATGCAGTCCTGGCTCGGTTGGTACAAATAACAATCTCTAAAACACACATTATTTATAAGATATCTTACTGGTCATTTTCTTCTGCTGGTCTTCAATGTATACGTTCAAAACAATAGCTATATTGTATTGTGGCCAAGATCCCCTAAAGACGCCCTGTTGTTGGGTTTTCGGAATGTTTCCGCCCCTCTCCCATCCGGAGTGTGGAGAGTTCACAGTCTTTCGACATTACAGATGATCCACATAACGTTACGTCTTTTGCAGAGCGCTTTCCCTCAGTAAGTAAGAATAAGAAAGTTTGCAAAAAACGATGGCAGCGTACACGACTGAGCTGCATTTAGGCTGTGAGAACCATTAAAAAGTTGTGAATTTTTTTTTATTTTTTATGTCATTACATTGGTTGGAGCATAAGAAACAAATGTAGAAAAAAACGTTTTGAAAAAAGAAATTGTATTCATGTTTATTCATATAGGCAGAAACTACCCCTAAAGCCCAGGCTTAAAAAGTTGTGAATTTTGTTGTTTTTTTATGTCATTACATTGGTTGGAGCATAAGAAACAAATGTAGAAAAAAACGTTTTGAAAAAAGAAATTGTATTCATGTTTATTCATATAGGCAGAAACTACCCCTAAAGCCCAGGCCTTCGGTGCGCCCATTGCTCCAGCCTGCAGCCTACTTGGAGAACATGCAGAAATGTAAAAGAAAATAAAATGTTATTGAAAGAAAAAGACAACTTTATTGTGTATATATTGATAGTCTAGATGAGATGAGACAAGAAGGATTAGCTGTATTCAGTTCCTCTCTTATTTTATGACAAATGTAAAATGTTTTTCCCCCACCTCCACTACTGCATCTTTCCTGACCTATGCTGGTTTCAAATTTCCTAGCAATTCCCAAAGTAAAGATGCACCCACACACGCACGAGCTCTTGAGCGCCATCCATCTATTCCATGTATATTTGACCTTCTCAAGACGTACAAAATTATTAAAATCAAAAACATATTTTAGGGGGTATTTTTCTTTTTATCTATGTTGCTTATCTATCTATATATCATCTATCTGTCTGTCTGTTACGGGGCAAACAAGACGAGAGGCGTGCGGATCCATGTGCAAAGCTTTATTCTGAAACATAGTCAAAACAGGCAAGGGTCGGACAATGGCAAACAGGTATATAGAGGGCAAGACTGAAGAGTAATCCGAAACACAAGCAATGGTCCAGGCGAGGAATAAACAGTATCCGAACAGGGCGAGACGAAAGGGGTAATCCAAGACAAGCATTATACTTCAGGGCAGGCAGAGATCATATGGAAACGAGATATACAGGCTAGGATCAAAACACGAAATTACTAAGGCAATAAACAGGATAAACTAGACAGACTCAGAACTAGAAACTCAAACTAGGACCGGGAACTGGCTCCGTAAAGTAGCTACGCATAACAGCATAGATGCTAAACAATACTCAACAGTTTGAAAGGGCTCTGAGTGAGTGTTATATAGTGAATGTGTGATTGGTTACAGCTGTGTGCAATTAGTGCAATGGCTGATGGGATATGTAGTCCGGGATGACATGCAATAGTTTGTGTATTGCGACTGTGAGAGTCAATGTAATGGAAGGGTGACCTCTGGTGGTGATCGA